CTCATACTGCAGTACACACTGTACACACAAAGCATAGACAGTATAATTGTATACACCTTGTCCTCTGTCTGAGGTCGTTACCACATGATTCTGGATTTGTCAACAATGGAAGACAGTGTTGCTGTTAGCATGTAGGCTAATACAGCCTCTTAGCAGAAAAAATAAATATATGAATTTATGAAAAGTATCAGATTTTTGGTGATTGGAATTTTATGAAGATCTCTTTTGTTCTGGTTTGTCTTGACAATAAGTAAAGCCGGTGACTTGTTTACTGCTGCTCAGACACGACAGCGCTTTAGCTTAGCATAAGTGAGAATAAGCTTCTTCTTTGTGCTCTGGGGTGAGATGTAACATCTATTTAATTATGTATATATATAAAAAATGAAAGTCCAATGAACTCTTTGCAGTTGTAGTATTTTATCACATATATACACACAATATATAAATTTAAATTTATGTGCTAGCTAAATTATGTTGAAACCAGGGTTGTCCCAATACCAGCACAAGTATTTATTTTGGGGTTAGAGTGAAAAGTCCTATGAGGTATTGTTACTGGTTCGTCTCAAACACGTATTATGATTTTTTTTTTTACTTTTAAAAACAAATATTTTGGTCCACTGTGTGAGAAGAACTGCTGGTTTAGAACCGTACACCCTGTGTGTTAGCACATTTCTGCTATGTTTATGCTAACACATGTTCCATATGTCTCTGCAGGTGTGGTTGTCGGAAGTCGACAGCAGAATGTCTTATCCCAGCCCCAGACAGAGCGGAGGTTGTGGGTTAAATTCCCAGGGGACGACACCAGGCAGCAGCAGTCTGAAACAACTGGACAACAGGAGTCCCGCCAGCAGAGAGAGGTACGGTTATTATAGTTCACATTTTTATGTGGTGTTTCGAATAAAAAATTTGTAAAAATCACTTTTTTCATTTCTTTTCCCTCTCAGTCCTGATGGCAGCTACACCGAGGACCAAAATGCAGAGCTTCACTTTAAGTCACGCAGTTCAGAGTTTGATGAAGAATTTGATGAGGAAGAGCCTCTGCCCAGTATTGGTACCTGCAAGTCTCTTTACCAGTTTCAAGGTAGTATAAATGTTTCTTTACTCTTTAATAATAAAAAAATAAAATCTAAAAATCTGCACCGGAATTTTTTTTTCAAAAGCAGCTTTAACACTTCACAATAACAAAAAAACGTTATTATGTTTAAACTTTAAAAGTTTGTTGTTTGTTTTTTAAATAAAATATATTTTTATGAAATAATTTTATGAAAGTATTTATTTAAAATGTATAAATAAATAATAAAAGTACCTAAATAAAATAAGTAATAAAATAAAATTATTAACAAATTCAAATAAATATTTTTTTATATAT